ACAAAACAACCAATTCTTTGAAAATACAAAATGACATTTGATATGAAATAATATAAATTATTATTTTTATCTATCTTGCATGAAATATGAAAAGATTGTCAATCATTTAAATACCTTATTTATCATTTTAAATATATTCGTTTAAAACTTTCTTATCTACTTATAGTTTATCATTGAATAAATTAGGATTTTTAAATAACAGGTTAATATTTTAAAAGTTAAAAATTTCAATTTTTTCTACTATCTCTCTATAATATGATTCTTATCATTTCTATATCTTATGTATCTTCGTCTCGTGAGTTTATATATTTTTGACCTCTAAAAAACAATTCAGTTTTTATGTAACTCTTACGGTTTTTGTGTTTCTCATATATATATATATAGTTAGTTAGTTAGTATTTTATTAAATTTTAGCAAAACAATAGATTATAATATTGATTAACTCGAAAACAAAAGTTTAAGAGTATTGAAACTAATTCGATTAATTGACTTATTTGCAGTTGTAAAATTGAGATGAATTGTGAAAGTTAACGAATACGGTAAAGAAAAATAACAATTTTTCTAAAAAATAACCAGATAAAGTTAGAATCGGATAAAGAATTTTTGAAAAATTATTTGTCATGAATTTAAAAATCAAGAACTCAAAAACCAAATCAAAAAGTTTACTAAAATGATGTGACAATATTTCATTAATTTTAAAATTCACTAAATACATTCAATTGAAGTTGGAAGAATTTATATAATCATACTTTTATATTTTATGTTTCAAAATTTCACTTTTAATTCTTTCAATCTCTATTTATTTTATTATATTTTTTAATTTCGTTTTTTAATTTATTTTTATTGTGTGGTAATTAATGTAAGTCAATTAATAGAAGAATGAAAAATTTATTAAATTGTTTAATTAAATTTTATTGTAATTATGTTTTTTTAAATGATGTGAAAAGTTTAATATGGATGACTAATTTCTCCTACCAATAAAATATTGTTATTTATTACTAACCCTTCGAAAAACTAAAAAAGTACTAAAAAAAAAAACTATGAACTTCATTAACACAAAAATGTGAACTCTGGTTAGTGTTGAAGAAAACGTGAAACAAGATTCAAAATCCTCGTGGAAAATCAAAATCAAAGCTTTCTCCTCGTTTCGGTAACTGTTTGATCTCGTTTTCTTCTTCTTCAATTGAATGTTTATGCACATATATATAATAATAAGCTAAACAGAAGTTAAATAGATTCATGCTTCAACGAAAAAGCATGAAGAGGAACAGCAACAACAACGATCCTCAAACAAACAGACATAACCATGTCTGTAATAAAACGACGTCGCATCGAGGAACAAGAATCGCAAAAGCTACTCTCTTCATAGTTTCTTCTCTCTTCATATCTGCTGGTCTCTTAGACTTATTGGGTTGTCTCGATCTCGTGAGTTCGAATCCTAAAAAACCTCAACTTTTTAGTGTAAATTTAACTTAAGATTGATTTTATTAAGATCTCTTCGTCTTCTTTCTTTCAGACAACTTTTACAGGTCTCAAACAAGTAACAAGAACCAGAAAATCACCAATCACGAACCATAGATTCCCTCACCAATGCGACGTCGTACAGAACCAAACACAGCAAAATCCACAAATTTCGTTTTCCGAGAATCAATCCTCGAGAAGCAGCCATTCAGGACCATCCACGTGTCCTTCTTACTTCCGTTGGATCCACGAAGATCTAAGGCCATGGAAAGAGACAGGTATAACGAGAGGGATGCTCGAGAAAGCAAGGAGAACGGCGCACTTTAGAGTAATTATCCTAAACGGGAAGGTGTACGTTAAGAAGTACAGAAAATCGATTCAGACAAGAGATGATTTTACTCTGTGGGGAATCGTACAGTTGTTACGGTGGTACCCAGGTAGATTACCAGATCTTGAGCTCATGTTCGACGCTGATGACAGACCAACCGTCCGATCTAAAGACTTTCAAGGTCAACATCACCCGGCCCCACCTCCATTATTCCGTTATTGCTCTGATGACGTCAGCTTGGATATTGTCTTCCCTGATTGGTCCTTCTGGGGCTGGTAAGCATATTATTTATTAGTAAGATTTTTTTATTTAATGGGCCTAGTGATTAAGTTTGATTGGGTTATAGGGCTGAGGTGAATATAAAGCCTTGGGCTAAATCTGTAGTGGCGATAGAAGAAGGGAATAAGATGACGCAATGGAAAGACCGCGTGGCGTATGCTTATTGGAGAGGAAATCCTAATGTGGCCCCCACTAGAAGAGATCTTCTTAGGTGTAATGTCACAGACCAAGAAGATTGGAACACACGTCTCTACATTCAGGTTAGGGTTCCTCAAAATCTCATGTTTTTCAAATTGATAATATCACAAATAATCTAATATAAGAAAAATATTATAACAATTTGAAGGATTGGGTTAGAGAATCAAGAGAAGGATTCAAGAACTCAAACCTAGAGAACCAATGCACACACAGGTTATATAAATCAAAACTTTAGGCATTTTATTTACTTTGTATATATATCCATCGACAAAAATCGAATTTAAATTTTTTGGTTGAAATGTTGGAATGTATAGGTACAAGATTTATATAGAAGGATGGGCATGGTCAGTGAGTGAGAAATATATAATGGCATGCGACTCGATGACATTATACGTAAGACCTAAGTTTTATGATTTTTACATACGAGGAATGATGCCATTACAACATTATTGGCCAATCAGAGACAACTCTAAATGTACTTCTCTTAAATTCGCCGTACATTGGGGAAATACCAATTTAAACCAGGTTTGTAAAGTATTTATTTACATTTTGGCCCCAATGGTTTCGTTTTTTGATCCCTTGATTTTCGATTTTTTCTTTTTTAATATAGGCGCGTAAGATGGGAGAAGAAGGGAGTAGATTTATAAGAGAAGAAGTGAAAATGGAATATGTGTATGATTACATGTTCCATTTGATGAATGAATATGCGAAGCTATTGAAGTTTAAACCGGAGATTCCTTGGGGAGCCACGGAGATCACACCGGATAATATGGGATGTCCGGCAACAGGACGGTGGAGAGATTTTATGGCCGAGTCTATGGTGATGTTTCCTAGTGAAGTGCCTCCTTGTGAGATGCCTTCTCCGTATAACCCTCTAGCTTTAAAAGAGGTTCTTGAGAGAAAAGCTAATTTGACTCGTCAAGTTGAGTTTTGGGAAGATCAATACTTTCGTAATTTGACGGATGGCAAGAAGCCTTGATCTATAAGAGGCTCTTGTTTTGTTTAGATGATAAGTTGAGTTGAATTCATATATTGAAATTAGCAAAATTAAAACGAGTAAGTTTTTTCTACAACTAGTGTATCAAATGTGATAAACATGAATTAAAATTATACATTCCAAATAACGATCGTTTATGATGGATAAATATGTAAGACATAATATCACGGTATATACTTCTCATTGCCACAAGGTTTTTGATATTTGTTTGTTTATGCATGGAAAACTTTACAAGCAATCATCAATAAGTCGGGTAAGTAATTTAAATCAAACGAGTAACTTATTTATGAGAAATTTAACACACTGGATTTGTTGATCAATTGCTGACAGATAACGAGTTATATTATTAGAATTCAACTAAATTGATTGTGATAAGCTACTATTTATAATCATTTTAAAACATTTTTAAAAAATGTTGCATTGTACGAGGGGGTTGACAAATGACAATCTCAAGCTGATTTAAAGAATCGTCTAATTTTATACGGTTTCCTATACATTAATCACGAGACATAGACATAAAATATTAGTACCGATTATATATTATATGATGCTTATGCATTTTCTTACAAAAATATTATCCACATTAACGTGAAACTGTGTAGTGTTTTTGATTTGGCTGACTAATTTATTCATCAAAATGTGTTACAAAAAAAAAAATTAAACTTGTGGTTATATCTAAAGAGAAGATTTCCAAATTTTCAAATAGGCTAATTTACTAAACGTCACACCGGTTGCATGACCATCATTCTCCAAGTACGTGTAATCGTTGCCTCTCAACGATAAAATCCATTACTTATAAGAAAAAAACTTGTGCCATAAATAATAATGAAAACTAGAAATATTAATTAGTTATCTCCCCTTCATAATACTAAATTAATCAGGCTGATTAATCTCTCACGGATCATAGAGAGATTTAACTTATTATAGGGGGTTGCTTCGATTCTCATACAACCCTTAATTAGCTAATATATTCATAAAAGTTCCCAAAAACATGGGTCTACATCTAACATACAATTCTTAGATACAAATTAATCAATACTACTAATCCTCTTTTTCTTCTAATATCTCATAATTAAAAGAGATCATTGTCCCTTACACATCCTCATAGCAACAAGTGAG